AATACCATAAATAAAATAGTTCCTCTTTTCAAAACCTAGTAATATTGAGCATAGCACAGACAATTGCTAACAGGACTGGGAACAATCGGGTGAGTGACTGTTCTCAGGCGTTACCGAAAAAGCCCCATAGACAGAGGACGCTTCCATATAAAATGTGTCCGAGTCCAATAAGGTGCCGTGAGCGAGCCGGAGGCCAGTGCACAAGATGAATATGCCTGAGCACAGTGGCTCTGCACATGACACCTTATTACACAGGAGGCAGTGTGCATCCAGCGGGTAACACACAAGCGAGCGAGCCTAATTAGAGTGCGCTGCAGCATGTGCACGTCGTGAGGGAAATGCACGACCAGGAAGCACAAATCCAATCCCCTAAACCTGTGTAATGCGAGCGCGAGCCTATCTGTATCCCACTCCACTGCACAACGGGTGGTAAGTGGGTTAATATAAACTATAAAATCGTATGTTTAGGCAATTTGCCAGAAGCACCAACCAAAGATGCCAAAACAGTTAATATACCTCTAGATTGCTTAGGTAGTCCAGTAGGAAAATGTGCACCTATGGGATCATTTTTACAAGTGCACTGCTAATGGCCTAGAAATGAAAGCAGCAATGTGATGTAGAAGGTTACCATGTTACCACTTGAATTACGATGTAGCATGCTAACCTTGGCTATTAGCCACTAAACACCAAAGTACCAACTGGAGCTGAAGATACTAGTAAAATAGTAAGACTTATAACCAAATCAATTTGGACCTGAGATAGGGCAGAAAAAAAGGTCAAAGAACCCACCAAAGTCAGTATGATGTAGAACCACTCGCGCGCGCGGCGTTACTACAAAATTCCATGGCATCCAATAGTTGTTGAGGTTTTTAAGTCTGGACCAAAGTGGTGGGCCGACTGACTCATTCATCAAAAAGTTGATCCAATGATGGAGGTCCTTATTGAGTCTGGATTATTTATTATTATTGGATTATTCCAGCTTCTGAAACTGATCTTTGCTGTTCCACCACTCTATTGGTCATAACTGAACTACAACAACATACAGTTCACTCCCAATTGGACAGTGCTGTTAGACAGTGTTTGAGTAAATTTCTTGCCATATTAATGTTAATTAACTACAGCTGATATAATCTGCTGCCGGCTGTGTTTGTCCTTTTAATCAAAAAGTGCGATGGCCTAACATTACATCACAAAAAAAGGTTACTTGAGTTTGGTAACTTCTTGTGTTGCTTTAATAATGTTGGTTTCTAGTGGCCAACATCTTAATGCCAACAGCAGCATGCATTTCAAATCTAATCTAGTCCATTGGCAAACACATACACTTCATTGAACATTGTGATACAAGCGAAAACAATGAAGGAACGTATTTGCTTCTGCTTCACTGAAAAATGCATTCTGTCTCCCCAAGCACGTATTGGTCCACAGTACGCTACGGTAGCTCTACCACTGAAAACATGATACTCATAACAGAGGGATTTTCTGACAAGGTGGCTCACCACTAATACATAATGTTAGAAATAATCACATTTTCATGACATTTATCTTTATAGTCCCTAAATGAAGGACTTAAGTCATACCAGGCCATCCGCTGCTTGTGAAAAACATTTCATATCAAGCGCACTCCTTTAGTGACAGATGTCGCCTATTTCATGTTCCATTAGCTTTCAACATCTGTCTAGTTAATGAGCCGAGGTTAACCTCGTGTGTGTTTGTGTGTGAGCAAATAGAAAGGCTAGATTGTCATGCCCGGGAAGATGGGGAGAACAACAAATACGATAAAAAGGTTCAATCTGTAAGTGCAGAGCAGGATAGCACGCGGGTATCAGCATACAACAACATGCTAAGGGTGAGTATTTTAAACCACAGGGGTTAATCAGAGCCGAGCACAGGCGGTAAACCTGTATATGCCTTGCAAGGGGGAAAGTATTCGTTACTGTAGTGCATCACATTTCACACAGTATCCCTGAGACAGGTGCAGGAGGAGAAAGCGGGAAGAAAAGAGGTGAAAGGTCACATTCTGAGGGGAAGTCCATTCGTCAGATTCGTTATCATCCAGTGTCAGAGGAGCTACAGCTGAGGAGGGTGAGACAGCACAGAGCTCAGCAGGGATCACATGGGCAAACCAGCAGGCAGGGTCTCTGCTAGTATTTATACTGAAACAACATTCTTATTGATTTATTTATAATTCTTTCTTGAGGAATTGTGAAAAATGTGTTGAATAGGTGAAAGCGTATGAGAAATATATTTTGCCCAATGCTCGATGCCCTTTGAGCCTGTGCTTCTGTCCTCCTGCTGTGCCCAGGTGGACAAAATCAAGAGTTATAGAGTAATTCCACCGGATCATCTGCGCCAGATAAGCTCCACTGAGCAACCAAAAAGGATTTTAAATCACCCATCACCCAGGTGTGGAGGTGAGCGCTCAGGTGGAGCTGTGTGTTCATCTGTGTGTCAGCGAGGGCGTGCACAATTTCATTATGTGCATACGTGGGGTTTTGTGCCTGTGTGTGTGTGTGTGTGTGTTCAGTAAGATTTATTGTGAAGGATCTTAAGGTCACAGATGCAGGCGAGCGGTACTGGACTGTGTTTGGTTTTGGGGAGCAGTGAAAAAGAAAGGGTCGGTGTCACAGGGCAAGAAAACAGAAACAAGCCTCATGAAGCAGGTTTCAGGCCACTTCACTTCCAGTTCAACCAGTTCTATACACCCACCTACTGTTTGTATCCACCAGAACCTTTTAATATTGGCTCACTGTTTATACCCACCATCACCCCGGTCTGCAAAACAGGAGTCCACTTCTCAAATGAGTGGCTGGATATCAGCCCTTGCGTGTCATTAGAACGTCCCAGTTGGGTCATACACACTGATTATAAGAACCTAATTTAGCAGACAACTAAAAGGTTACTGTTTAAAGAGTTTCTACAACCTGGGGTTTGATTGTCTTACGTTTTTATTAGTTATCATAATCAAAATCATCAGCATAATTGCTGGAATGTGGTCATATGGCAACCTCTCAGCAGGTCAGTAAGTCACACAGGCTGTAAACAAACACCCACTTAATTCATGTTATCTAAATCTCTTTATTTGGAAATGAAACAAAAAGTGAACAGTCGCAGTTAAACCAGAAAGTTGTTATAATGTGCCAATGGACCGAATGGGAAATATTAAAAGAGCACTCTGCCTAGTTGGGTTGGAGATTTAGGCGTGTAATGCTAGGGGGTCTGGTAAGCTCACTTCTCTACACCAACAGATTTGTTTAATATTAGATGACATCACTTGAGGCAGTTCATAAGACTTCACATAGCTCCCTCTGCAGCCACAGAAGTCTTTTACTATACAACTTTTTTTCCCCATATGTAATAGTATTCACATGGAAAAAAGATGGTAATGTGCACAATCGGTGGAGTTTAATGTTAACCCATTAATGTTTGCATTTGTTTCCTATCCAAATAAGTATTGTTAATTGATATAACATCATCTCATACTTTCAAGATGGCTGACAATTTCATTTGTAGGGGATATACTAAATATATAAACTAAACATACTGCAATAGTTAATGCTTTAATCACAAAAAATAAGGAAATTTACTCTAAAGTTATCAAGATTAAATGGCTTTGCCCAATTAACCAATTAATGTCCAGGAAACCCAAACTCAGTAAAAACCCATTATTTTTATTAAATGTGATACAACACCATGGTTAATATCGTGTCAGTTTTAATAAGTTTCAACTTTTAAGAATTTCAAGAAACCCGCCCTCTTGAACTTGGTGGAATTGAAAGTGAAGGAACCATCACCCTGCTTTGTAGAGAAGTACCTCACTGCTGCTGCTGCTGCTGCTGCTGCCAGTGGTCTTTATAGCAGCAGATCAGTCCAACATGAGCTGGGGCAGGACGGGATGGAATGATATGGAGAAGCAAGATGGTGTAAGTTGAATGCTTGGTTTGCAACACAGACACTCAGCGTCCACAACAGGACCACAACACACACTTTTAATTTGTCTCACACTAATAATAAAATAAACACTATACAACATCACTGCTGAATCACTCAAAGCCTTTAAAGGACCAGTGTGTAGGATTTAGTGGAATATACCGCTTAGCCTTCCAAGTGTTGTGTGTGTGTTCCAAGTAGTTTTTTTTTCTTTCCGCTCTGGGCTACTGTAGAAACATGGTTCTCTGTGTAGATCAAAATGTAATGAAACCATGATTCTTATTCCTATATTCAGTATACAGTAATGAAAACATAGTTAAGTATATTATATTCCATTTCTGCCAATAGATCCTCCTAAATGTTACACACTGGACCTTTGAGTTGTAAAGTACACATTTTTTGTTGTTAATGAACTAAAATTCAAAACTAACAGTATGGTCCTTTAAATTCACCTCCAAGGTTTCTTGTCCACTGAACCTACAACACACTGGCTTCATCTACTGATTGATGTAGGCACTGGTATGGGAATGGATGAGATATGAGCATGAAACATTAGTTCTTTTTCTTTCTTTTTTCACCTACAATCTACACCATGCCAGGAGGGAGAACACTATTCTCATTGTCTATAGTCCTTCTGATATCTAACAGATATTTGAAAGAATATTGCTGCTGTCAGTGGAAAGTGCTTTAGAGAGAAAATCAAGTTTGGAATCTGTGCCAAGTGCCCTGGTTTGAGAAAAGTCAGGACAGGAAGCGGCATGTTATACTTCAATCTATATGAAACTGAATTGCAAAATGCAGGGGTCATGTGTTGACATCTTCTTTGTAATAACATATGATAATATCAGGATCATAATAGCTGTAGCTGAAGAACAAGATGCTTTTGCCAGGGGACTGAGGTCTTGTATATTGCAATTTTCTAATTCACATTATCTTGAAGAAAATATACCTCATCTCCCTGGGATATGTTGGTTATAGGATGTACTGTCAGATTCAAGAGTAGCCACTCTAGAGATGGTACTTTTTTTATATAGAAAAACAAACAGTATCTTGTAAAAGAACAAGACTCGCCACATTGCTCATGATGTTGCTTTTCTACCTGTGCGATATTGCTGTGATAAACATATTAACATCACTATTACCAAAGTACCTGAAAAGACATCTTCCAGCATGTGTTAAATGTTTAATCACAGCATTATCCCACACATACAAGAACAACTCCATGTTAAAGTTGCAATCCTTTTTGGGATCTGGTCAAAAATCCTCTCTCTTTATTTATCTTGGAGCTCGGTCATCAAAAAACTACAATCTGTAACCAACGTGGCTCCACAAAAATCTAAACTCCATATAACCACAACAGTCTTTCATGGCACATTAATAGCAAATGTGGCCCTTATGTATACAGATCAAGATCAAGAGAATTTATGAAACACTATTGTGGCTATATAGAAGACCATTAGTGTCAAAATTTCTTAAGAATAATGTTATACTGTCTCAATTTACTACCATAGAATAAAAGGTAAAAAAATATAAGGATTGTACCTTTAAGTGTTTCCATTGATTAGACCTATTAGAGGGATATGTCCAGGTTCCACACACTGCAGCACCCACATGACACATGGAACAAGAATCCGGAGTGATTAATAACAGTATTATTAGACATGGACAGGAATATAGTGTGCATTGTTATCATGTAACAGCAGGCAAAAAACTAAATGCAATTTCATCAATGCCATAATTTACAATTACCTTCTTATGTGTAATAACACAGAATAATCAATCAATGTTAACCAATGCGTAGCAGTTTTATGCTTTGGCTGTCCTCATGACCATTCTTGTAGTGCTTATCAATGAAGTAAAGAATCAAATTCTCTCAACATCACATGCATTAGCAGTAGTGGTCCTAACAGTGAACCTAACTAACCTGACAGATCTACAGTGCGCGATAGAACTTGCATGTGATTGTCAGAGAAATGGTTGCTTTATTCAGTGATTTGCACTCACATTGCTTCATCAGAGCTGAGAAATCAAACCAAGTTAAATAACCATGTGATAGCAGTATGGTTGGAATCAAACATATGATATGAGTGTTCATTTTCACAGCTTCCTAATTTTCCATTTTCACCACATACTTCCAAAAACTCATCTATGTATATTTTTAAGTAGCTCCAGTTCAGTTTCATATTTTTTTTAACTTTAGCTGTTGTAATCAGATTAATGTAATCTCTTTACATGTAATCCAATTATGTCCCCACACCGCCTGTCACATGCTCACCAGTAGAGATAGTAGAAGAAGGAGAGGACAAAAAAGGACAGCTTGCACCAGGCCTCCTTCAGGCAGAACTTGAGTGTGTCACCGTTCATCACGGACGCCGGGTCGTAGAGCAGCTCCTTAGTGTCCGTTGGGGAATGGAAGTACCTACCACAGAGGGCAAAGACCACATCGCGGGTAGTTGACCCGTTCCAGACCCCGGGGGGGAGGGGGAGGGAAGGATGGAGCGAGGTAGGCGGGGAGATGATGGGAAGAAAATGGGGAAGAAAATAGCATGGAAAAAGATGGCATGATGAGTTAGGGGGACACCATCATGCAGCAGACGTGGGCGAAATAGTAGTTGAATGTGTTCGTGGGAACTGACCATTTGCTAAATCCCTCCCCTGAGCAGCGACTGTGCCGTAGTTTAGCTAACATAAATGGCAGGCCTGTCAAGCTTTGGATTTCTTTTCACATTTTGAAGCAGGGCGCTTAGCAATAGTGTAAGGAATGTATTAAACATTGTGTTTATCTGCCCTAACGTTAGATATAATTGCTATCTAGCTTAATACCCTCTGTAGTAACCTAGTAATATTTGCAAAGCTAGGTAGCACATCATTAGCTAAGTATTGTTTTGTGGGGCTACAAGCTATGTCCGTCCAAGACCGACCCCCACTGTTTGAGAGCCAGAATGCTAGTATATCAGAGTTCACTGTAGATAAAGTTAGCATCATCCTCAAAGCGAGAACAAATCATAAATTAAGTGCTGAGCTCTTAGATGGAGCTAATTATTTCCATGTCAACTGGTGAGGACGCTGAGCTCTTGCTAGCGACATGTAGCTTTAGTCTTTTAGCACAGGAGTGTAGCTTTCAATTGCATATTTAAAACCCTTTTTATGGTCAACAAATCAGCTAGAAACCGATTTTTTAATCAACTCACAGAGTTAATGTTAATTAGCTAGCTAATCTGCCAGCGACGGCCATGATTTTAATCGTTAAAATCGAAGGTCACCATCTAGAAATGAGATGCCCGATTCTCAACTTCTGTGACAAATCACAAACCATATTGTTTCAGAAATCACTATCTTTTTGAGTGGTATCACTGTGATCTTCAGTTGTGCTATGCTAAAATGCTTTTAGCTTCACAGGTGTAACAGTAAGTAAGGGGACAAGGACTTAGCAAAGGATATCTTGATAAGGAGCAATTTGACTTATCTTGTCGTGCAAAATATTAAAGTTCCCAACAAGATAAACAAAGTATGATTAAATATTTGAATTGTTATTCAAATATATTTTCACCCAGGTCAGTTATGCGGTTCTAAAGGTATCAGGGCTGGGGTTTATTCTAAGTTCCTAAATACAGTCAGCTCGGTAAGTGAATTACAGCTCCAACTGCTGTGCATAAAAATAAGCAAACAATAATTTTCAATAAAACTTTAAAATGAAATTTTAATAAAAAAAACCCCAACATTTTCTCCCCTTTCAAATTACAACCATTTATCACCCAGCGCTGACTGATTTAAACTCTGAAGAGAAAATCCACCCTATAATAGAATCTGCATGTGTTATTGCTATGCTTTTAGTACAATCAATATTTGCCAACACAAACAGCTCTCTCTCTCTTACAGCTCTGTAAAATGAAGATGTGCGATGTCACCCAAACACAGAACCTGGCTGTGATTAATAGCAGAGTGGGTTTGGGGAATTGTAGGATGTTTCCTGGAGCTTGTACATCCCAGTGAGACTTATTTCAGCGGGGCTGATAGAATTCTGAAATGGAAAATATGTTTTATGCGTACTTGAGGAAAGCCGCCATGAGACAACATGTAGAGGGAATTCCAACTGCTGCCTGTTGCTTTGAGAGAGCTGTTTATGCACTGATAAACAATTGCCTCATTACGTTTTATAGGGGGGATTTGCCTTTTATGGACCCCAGAGCTGATACAAATGAACTGGATTCTGTAACAATGGGTAACTGTTTATTAATGAAACAGACCAATTGCATTAAGATAGCAACTTTACTGCTGTTCATTTTTCAGTCATTTAACCCACAGAGCCCATCAGAGAGAAATTCACTCAGAAATTCACTGAAATTATGCTTTGCTGGGTATGATGGGTAACGCAGTCCAACCAGGAAGCTGCCATCATGATGCATGTGGTCTGTTCAGTCATAACTCAGACTAACAGATGGTTTATGCATGTCCATACTACTGTTCATTCATGTATTCAACTGTGAAATGAACGTACATTTGGTTGTCATTTATTAGTTACAATACAATGTACACTGACTAATTCACGTTTCTGTCAGTCGATAGATGACTCATGCATGTATGAAATCTTAAATAGTGCATCTTGATGTATTTTGAATGACAGAAGGGCTTTGTAATGAGTCACTGAATATAGTTCCCATGTATTTCTACAAAAGATACATGCACAAATGACTGATGATGAGGTAAACCAGGTTAGCTGACAGTAAACAACACTACTGCAGTTTAAATAATTAGCTTATAAAATGTCATTCATAATAAATAAGAACTTATTAAACTAAATAAAAAGAGCAAAGGCAAGAAGAAAACTGGGTGAACACTTCCTGCTTGTCATAGACATGTAGAGATGCTCAGTGTGTTAAACAGGACACAAACACACACTCACTCACAGGCTTTGAAAAGGATTCAGCTGGCAACCAAAGCATTTTAAGAAACAGCACCACATGGCTAGCATATCTTGGAATTTCCCTCTACGCCCCCTCATTCACATATTGTGAGAGCTTTTAGTCTGGCAAAAACTTCTGTTCTTAATAAACAAGGAAATGTCCCCCATGAATGGACCTGTTACATACATCATCCCAGACTGAATCCAATTAAGGTTTCACTACTGAGGCCAGGCACATGCACACTCACACTGTGGGCTACAACTTGAGTGCTGCACTTTTAATTTACATTTTGGTGTCATTAAAAGTACTGCTGTTAGCACTTCCTGTTTGCAACATAGCCACAGCTCAACAATAATTGGTTAACTGATACAACAACTCGATCATAAGGCCAGTCCTGGAGTTACAAGGAGCTTATTTTTGTAATTGCTATGCAGATTTATGGATGTTTATTCTGTGTGTTAAGATTTGAAGTTATTTTGACACAAATTGCAGCAAGTGAGCGCTAAGGGTTTTAAAGTACAATACCTTTATTGCCTCTGTGAGCTGTGTGTAACATCCACAGCTGCTGCTCCTAACACTGACCGTGTTGGTGGGTGAGCCAAAACAGAGGTCAAAACTACAGTAACTAACTTCCTGCGGCACTGGCATGCACCTGTCCCTTTCACCTCACACACTAACCCCACTTCAACCCTCCTGGACCGAGACCAAACCTCTCTGAGAACAGTTATTACTGGAGCTACTTTATAAAGAACAAGTGGTCCCTATGAAAACAGGACACTTTGCAGAGTAACCAGGACATAGCATAGCATGTCATTGTCAGTGCTTCAAGCACCACAGACAAGGCAGAAATATCAAAGAGATGGACAACTAAACGCACTGAATACCAAAAATATCGGCATGGCTGTAGCTACATAGCACTAGAGGTAAGTGAGAAAGCCTTAGGGCAACTCCAAAAGCAATCGTGACCTAACTGTTGGAGAGAAACCTTAAAGAGAGAGCGCTGGTTTTCCTGGCTACAAGACATCCTCCAATACAAGTTCATATCAACAAATAGCTCGAGCTTTGCTGCCATCAATCTGACCTCGGAGCCTCCCGGCTGCATCTGCAACTCTGCAGAGCATCACATGGACATGTGGACCCATCAATATGTCGCTGTGATCACATACTGTATCCATGAGCTTGTGTTTAAATAGCTCACCATTAGTGTCTCCCTCCCTCCCTCTCTCACTCTCCTCTGAATCACCTTGTCAATATTAGACCTCTCTCCTATCAGTCACTCACTTTTTCTCTCGCCTCACCCGTCCTGCCTCCCGCTACTTCCTCCTTCATTTTGCACCCTCCTCCATCTCTGTCTTACCCTCTCTCCCTCCCCATCCCTTCCTTGTCTTCTCGTTTCTCAGCTGCGCAGGAAGCAGCATCTGTAGCCGGTGGGCATCTGGCAGCAGTCTCCAATTAATGAGACAGCAAGATGTTTTTCTCTCTTTGGCTCTCCTCTTCTCTAATCTCCTCTCTCCTCTCCTCTGCTCTACCCTTCTCTCCTCTCCTCTCCTCTCATTCTGCAACTTTCACCAGCTGAGCACAGAAGCTTAAACCAATCGGACTGCCAGCAGTCTACGTCTAACACCGGCGGGAAGAACAGCTACAAAGACAGAAACAGGCAAAGAAGGAGCAGCAAAAAACATCTGAAGATCACTGACTGGTGACCCATTTTTCAGACATTGCCTTTCAGAGGCTGGAGATGTGTTGCAACTCTGATATACTTGCTTTTAGCTATACGCATATCTTATTTCCTCTGTGCTGAAGAGCTCCATTGTTGTCCAAAATCTATTCAAACACACCACTGTTTCACAAACTGTGGATTAGTTTGACTCAATCCCACACACACACACACCATTCTACTGCTATAACTATTCACCAGTCCACTAAATGTGTGTTTATATAGTCCCAAACAACTGTCCTCCTGTAAACAATGTTTCCTATGTCCAGTTGTTTTAGAAAAGTGATATATATATCCGTCTTCAGTAGGAAATAACAGGCTTAAGGCTGAGAGGGTTGAAAAGTCAGAGAGTACTAAAAGACAGACTGTTGGTTTTGGTCTTTTCATGGGTTTTGTCACACACCAAGTTTGTTTTGTTCATCCAAAAATGATTAAATTTTACGAAAAGCAAACACGACCTCACCTTGTGTCAATCATGTTTACACAATGACCTTGAAACTTTCATCTGGCATTAAAGTTTTTAGAACTAGCTCGATTTTTCACATTTTTTCACAGCAGTCACATGAGAAAAGCTCTTGTAGCCGCAGTGCCAAATGCAAGATGAGGGCAGAGAGTTGACAGCCTGCGGAGGAACCTCCAGTGGAGAAAAACAAGGAAGGGAAAAAGAGAGATGGAGAGAGAGACAGAGTGACAGCAGCAAGCAGAAAGCTCCTTTATCAGCTGGTGAAACGCTCCTTGTTCTTAACACCTTGGACCCAATTACTTTTTCTACTTTCAGTCAGAGGACCACAAAATCATCCTCGTTGCCCCAAATGCCCAAACATCATCAGCTAGGGATGATTCAGCCATTACCTGCAACCTAGTGGATACTCTTTTTGATCCTGAACAATGTAGCTGTATCATGAGCCTTATTGTCATATACAGTTTTTTTTTCTTAGTTATAAACTAAGACTAATTCTAATCTTAAATGACAAGGTTTTTCTTACTGGCATAAAATCCCATGAAAACACCAAAACCAACAATAGGGTTTCAATTAGGGGTGTAACAAAAACCGATTTGAATCGGAAAATCGATTTTGATTTAAAGGATGCGAGTGCATCGGTACACGGACTAATAAATCTGTCTTGTTGTAGCT